TTTTTTTTCTTTTTTTTTTTTTTTTTTTTTTTTTTTTTTTTTTTGAGATGAGGTTTCTCTGTGTAGTCCTGGCTCTTGCTCTGTAGACCAGACTGGCCTTAAACTCAGAGATCTGCCTGTCTCTGCCTCCTGAGACTTTTATTTTTCGAGACAGGGTTTCTCTGTAGCTTTGCTGCCTGTTCCGGAACTAGCTCTTGTAGACCAGGCTGGCCTCAAACTCACAGAGATCCGCCTGCCTCTGCCTCCCAAGTGCTGGGATTAAAGGCGTGCGCCACCACCGCCCGGCTGCCTCCTGAGACTATTAAAGGCATGTGCTGCCACCCCACAACAGGTTTTGTGTTTTGCTTTAAAAAGTAATGTATCCTAATATCGGGAAGAAAATTGCCTGCTCTCCCATGCCAGTCTCTTCCCCTTTACTGCTTGTGTGTGTTCTTTGGTTTATATCCACGTGTATGTTTACTAATGTGGGTGTCACTGTGGTTAAAGCACATTAAATTTTCCATTTAATGCTTAGTTAGCTCCATTTTCCCTTTTTTTTTAATTTATTTATTTTTTTGTTTTGTTTTGTATTGGGTTTTTTTGGTTTTGTGGGGGTTTTTTGTTTTTTTGAACATAGGGTGTCACTATGAAGTCCTGGCCTGGAACCTTCTATATAGTCCAGGCTAGCTCTGGAACTCATAAGATCCTTTTGCTTCTGTTTCCTGAGTGCTAGGATTGAGGGCATGCAACCACAGCCTGCCTTCTTGACAAGCTTTCTAGTGACTGTGTGCTATTTCATTATATCTGTGCCATATCGTAACCTTTTCCCAAAACGTTAGCCCTTCACACTTTGTGCGTGCGTGTGTGCACGCACGTGTGTAAGTAAATGCTGTTACATCAGCATCTTTCCAGTGTAACTCCTTCCTTTCTCCCGTTGGCATCCAAGACAGTGGGTAATGCCTGGAAGCAAGGCTCACGTCAGAGCTCTGTCATGGTTTGACTGGTTGCACATCCCTAACGGAAAAGCCTGAAGTGCTGGGAAGTCTGAAGTAGCTGAGCCACAGGCATACTGCTGAAGTCATACTGGGAAGCAGTAGCTACCAGCTCACACTAGGCATGCTTAGCCAGGGAAGTTTGCAAACGTTCTGAAGCACTTAAGTCTTAGTATTTTGGATAAGGGTACTCTACTTGTACTTCAGAGTTCTTAATACTGCCCACCTTGAAATGTTTGGAGAGGGGTGAAAAGGCATGTGAACAGTCATTTAAGTATTGATTATTCTTTTACTGCTGCTGTTCTGATAGATAAAATAGCTGGGTGTTCTGCAAAAACCATTAAATTTATTTTTATTTTATGTGTATGGCTGTTTTGCCTGCATATCTGTGCATGCAGTGCTGGTGGAAGCCAGAAGAGGGCATCTTATTCTTGAGTTCCAAGGACAGCTGTGAGCTCTTGTGTGGGTTCTAGGAATTGAACCATGGTCTTCTGGAAAAGCAGCCAGTGCTCTTAACCACTGAGCCATTTCTTCCTGCTTCTGCAAAATGTCTAATGCTGGTATTTCAGTAATTGCAGTATCTTACCTTTGTTTTTGTTTGTTTTGTTTTTTCTTTTCCCCTCTTCTAGATATACAAGAAGAGATGTTCTTCCACTAGGAAAATTTACAGTTAACCTGAGTGGCTGCCCACAAAATAGCACCTTCACAGAACACCTCTACCGGATCATTCAACACCTTGTTCCAGCAGTAAGCTAATATTCTGATAAAGTATTATGAACAACCGAGCCAATTATTTTCTACTCACCTAACTTTGTGTTCCTTGTGGATCACAACAACACCCACCAACTGACATAATTTAAAATGTACCCTCAGCATTGACACTGATTGGCCCAGCACAAATTTGTAAATCTAAACATTAATGCAATGGCAGTAACTCCCTCAAGATCAGGCTTCCTGCCGCTGCCAGTTTGTCCCTTTGTGTGCATATTAAACTTGAGATCTAAATAAGCTCAGTTCTCTCAGCTGCCCCTCTCCATGGCCCAGTTAGGTACTGTTTGGAACCATCTGGAGTGTACCATTTTTGTGTCGGGATCTTGGGGATAGGGGAATTGCTCTGATGAGTGGTATATCTAAAAATGCTGGCCACTTCTTTGGGTCTTAAAAAGTGAAGCCAGGCAGGCCCTTCACTGAACAACCTGTCATGCTGTGCTTCAGGCCCTGCAGAAGCAGCAGAGTCCCAAGGACTTGGGGCCACTTACTCAACAGACTATGCTTCCACTGATTTCTATATTCAATAATTCATTATATTTATCAAAATAGTCATAAAACTGACACTGTTTTGGGTTTTCCCAAGCTCTTGAACTTCTACATTAGTAGGAGACCGCTAGATTTTCTGGTCCGTTTCCGCATTTGCACCTATGGTGATGTGTTTTGATCTGGGGTGTTGTCGATGATAGCTGGTGTAGTATCTGGAAGCCTGTTGCTGGCGTTCGTACGTTCTCTATGGTAAAACTCATCTGTCTTCCATTTTGAAGGAGTGAGGGTAAATGTGTGACCTATTCATAAACCCTGTAACAGGGTCTTAGCAGTTCCCAAAACCCACAGCTCCTGAAATAAGCTCTCTGAGTTTTATGTGTTTGTAGTACAAGACCAAGAAAGTAATTGCTGGTGTGTGCTTTAAAAATTCATGGCAGAGGGCTGGAGAGGTGGCTCAGAGGTTAAGAGCACTGACTCCTCTTCTAGAGGATATGAGTTCAATTCCCAGCAACTACATGGTGACTCAGAACCATCTGTAATGAGATCTAATGCCCTCTTCTGGCTTGCAGGCATACATGCAGGCAGAACACTTTATACATAATAAATCTTTAAAAAAAAAATCATGGCAGGACAGCGAAGCACTTGAAATGGGATAGGAGACACTGGTGGTGCCCATATGCCCATCTATACAGAATGGCCTAAGACTCATGGATGGTTTTGGAGCTGACCTGGTGGTTGCCTAGCTGGGGTCATGTCCTTCCTCTCTCCTACTTGGAGTAAGGGAAGTCCGCGAAGAAGCTGGTGTAGTACTAGCTCTCAGACACAAAGTGGCTCCAGAGGCCATCCAGCTGTCAGTTGTGAGCCCAGGGGTTCTCAGGCTACATTTTTACATGGGAGAGGGTGGAGGAAGGGGCTGAGAAGTGACAGTGTGGTGTGTGTTTGCATTTTGTTCTGGTCACTTTTCCTTGTTTTGTTTTTCACTGACCCTGTCTCCTCTTTATCTGGCACTAGGCCCTTTCTCAGTGCTCCTCTCTGTAATAGAACACTCGGCTTTGACTACTGGTTATATGTGTCCTGCCTGTGGTTCTGTCTCAGCCCCAGCACCTGGCCACTCTTTTCTTTGTTTTGAGATGTGTGTGTGTGTGTGTGTGTGTGTGTGTGTGTGTTTACCTTGCATGTATGTCAGTGCAGCATGTACATGCCAGGTGCCCATGGGGACCAGCAGAGGGTGTTGGTCCCCTGGCACTGGAGTTATGGACAGTTATAAGCCTCTGTATGGGAGTTGGGAGTAGAACCCATATCTTTGCAAGAACAAGTGTTCTTAACCACTGAGCCATCTCTGCAGCCAGCCACCTTTTTTTTGACAAGCCCCACCTCTTCTGGGACTTCTTCTGAATCTGTAAACAATTCCCACTTTCGTTTCTAAGAAAATTAAGCCACAGTATTTAAAATTCTCTTAAATTTTAGCTGTGATCTTCTTCCTGCACAGGCTCCCTACCCTGTGCTTTTCTGAAGGCTGCACCATGTATGAGTAGAGGAGTCCGGAGCAGACAAGAGACTGCCGAATGTGGTGGGGGCTAGAGGAATGGGAGGCCATGCTCTGGGCTGCAGTGCAGACTGTCTTAAAGGAATAGTAAAGTTCAGCCTCTGGGTGTCTGATATTTGAACTGTCCACCACTAGTTTCAGAGTAAAAATTACTCATCAAGACTTAAAAAAAAAAACCACACACACAAATTTTCTTTATGTCTGTGGCTGGCCTTATCTCTCCAGCATGCTCCAGGCCCAGCTGAAGACGGAGAACAAGTAGCTGTAAGAAGCATGGCTTGTGGTGTGGCCACAGCTTCTTCCCTTAGAAATGGTGTCTTACCATATGAAGCACACGTGTTTTGACTCAATATGTGTCTGTGTGTATTTTCTAATAGAAAAACTTGGACCTTTCCTCATTACAATTTCTGTTTCAGTCTTTTCGTCTACAGATGACGATAGAAAACATGAACCAATTGAAACTCATTCCCCATAAAGACTACACAGCCAACCGACTGGTCAGCGGTCTCCTCCAGCTGCCCAATAACACGTCCCTGGTCATTGATGAGACTCTTCTAGAGCAGGGGCAGTTGGACACCTCAGGTAGGCATGCAAACCTCCTGTCCTCTTGTGGCTTTGCTCCATTTAGTCAGACCTAGCAATGACTTCTAAGGCAAACTTAGAGTTACCAGATATTTTTTAAACATGCATGTATTACAAACTGTGTATACTAACTTTTATTATGATATTCTGATGGTTGCCTGTTAGCTCAAAAAGGGTAGAAAAGATTTAATGTAATATTTTATACATCCCATAAATAATTTTTAATGATTTCTGGGGGGGAGAATAGACTATTTGGTTTAAACTAGCCTCAGTTATGGAATATGTTAAAAAAACAAGCTGGGAGGTGGTGGCCACGCCTTTAATCCCAGTACTTGGGAGGCAGGGGCAGGCGGATCTCTGTGAATTCGAGACCAACCTGGTTTACAGAGCAAATTCCAGGACAGCCAGGACTACACAGTCATCCCCCCCACCAAAAAAAAAAAAAAAGACGAGAGAGCTGCTAGATCTTGTTCCCACGAAGAGTGTGCAGTGCTGGGAGTAGTGACGCTGTGCTGGGGGGTAGTGACGCTGTGCTGGGGGTAGTGACGCTGTGCTGGGGGTAGTGACGCTGTGCTGGGGGTAGTGACGCTGTGCTGGGGGGAGGTGGGGCACAAAAAATAGATGAAAAAATAATGAACGCTGGGAATTTATAAGGCAAAGGGAGCCTAAAATCAGGAAGGTTTATCCAGGGGTGGTGGCACCCACCACCATTCCTGTCACTTGGAAGGTAGAGGCAGGAGAACTAGGAGTTCAAGGCTAGCCTGGGCTTCTTCTTTCAACCCTCTCTCAAAAATATATAAATTGGGAAAACTCAACAACCTTACTTTCTAAAGAAATGATTTCCCATCTTATAACCATGACCTGGGAAGGAATGAACTTACCAGAGTCCCACTTTTTGTTGGCATTATTGTTGGGTGAGTTTTGGCCTCAGAAAGTTCAGGTTGGCCCAGTACTGCTGGAGCTTATAACCTAATACCTGGCTTACGGACATTGCACTTGTTAAGTTCTTGGCTACCGTTACCTTTATCTAAGCAGCAGAAAATCACATGTGTTAAGATCATTGTCAGCCAAACTAATTTGAGTATGTGATTAAAATCACATCACTGCCAATAACGGTCTTGCTCTTCCAGGTGTTCATAATGTGACTGCCCTGAGCAACCTGATAACCTGGCAGAAGGTAGACTATGACTTCAGTTACCACCAGATGGAGTTCCCATGCAACATCAACGTCCTCATCACATCTGAGGGGAGGTCCCTGCTCCCGGTATGATAGCTCATGGTTAAGTGGAGGGTTATCGTTGTCACTTTGTCCATTTTTGTTGCTTATATTGTCCCTGTGTGCAGATGCAGGCACTTGTGCAGTGTGTGTCAAGGCCACAGCTCGCCCTTGAGTGTTGTTTCTCAGGAACTGTACACCTTTTGAGACAGGGTCTCTGACTGGCCTGGACCTACCCAAGTAGACTAATTGGTCTGACGGTCCAGCAAGCCACAGATTCACCTGGGGATTACAAGGGTATACCAACATACCCTTCATTTTTATGTAGATTCTAGGGTTTAAGGCTAGACCTCAAGCTGTGTGTGTGTGTTTTGAAGGTTTATTTTTTTTGAGACATGCGGGTCTCTGAGCTGGACACCAGCTGTTCTCCATAGTGAGCTCCAGGACTACACAGAGAGACCCTTTCTAAAACAAGCCAAAACACATTTTATGTGTGTTTGCCACACTTTATTTAATATTTTATTTTATGTGTATGAGTGCATACATGTATGTGTGTTCACCACTTACATGCCCTGGGCCCATGGAGGACAGAAGAGGGCATTTGATCCCCTGGAGCTGGAGTTAGGGTTGGCTGTTAATCACCGTGTATGTGCTAGAACCAGACCAAGGTCTTCTGCAAGAGCACGGCACTGAGCCAGCTCCGCAGCTCTAGGTGTTACTATTTTATCAGTGTGGGTCTGTGCCTATGCTCATTCACAGCCACAGAAACCAGAACTGGGAGGTTGGAGCCTTGGAGCTAAAGTTAAATGCATTTGTGAGCCACCCAGTGTGTGTGCTGGGATCCGAACTGTCCTCTGTAAAGTAGTTAAGTGCTCTAAATTGCTGCACCATCTCTTCTGCCCCACGAGGGTGTGCACTTCACAGGCTGAACCATTTCCTTAGCTCAGTGCTGCTTATTATTTTAATAAGTTGCATTTATTTATGAATTGTGGGTGAGCTTGGAGTGTTAGTCCATGCCTGTGATCCTACACTCTGAGGAGGCTGGGGTGAGAAGGTGGCCAAGTCACATCCTTCCTTGGTGGCATAGTAAGACCCATACCTCAAAAGACCCGTGAGTACAGCTCAGTAGTAAAGCACTTGTCTGTCTGTGTGAGGCTCTGAGTTCCACTGATAAGTTACAAAAAAGGAGATGGTAGCTGCTAGTTATTAACAAGGGAATCTGGTATCTCATTTTACCTCATTGTAAAAATTTATAACTGTTAACCCAAATATCACAAGATAACCAAAACTACTAGTAGGAGAGCCTGTAATATCTAGAAATAAAGAGAAGCTAATTTCCCTTAATAGTCCAGACTGCTGTTCTTACTCCCTTTGTTCCTTTTTTTGCCAGTCATGTGATGCATGTGTGCACATGCAGTGGCTGGAATGTAGAGCTGGAAGACAACTTGAAGGAGTTGTTCTCTCCGTCACGTGGGTCCTGAGGATCAGGCTTGGCAGCAAGCATCCTGACCAGCTGAGCTATGTCCATCTCAAATGTTTGTATATTGACTTTAAGGCTAGCCTGACTTACAGGATAAGATCTTGTCTTGAGCCAGACAGAAAATCACATTGCAGTGGTTTCATGTCTTTTGTTATGCAGTCAGCAGATTGAGTACACTAAGATTTTAAAAATACTCCCCTCCTCAAATACCTGCTATTTTCTAATTCCCTTCCAAGTTGAGAGCTGCGTCCTCTAAATGTAGGTTATCATAGGACCTTGGAAATCAGTTCATTTCCTCTTTCCAGGCAGACTGCCAGATTCACTTACAGCCCCAGCTGATCCCGCCCAACATGGAAGAGTACATGAACAGCCTTCTCTCGGCTGTGCTGCCGTCTGTGCTCAACAAGTTCCGCATCTACCTGACCCTCCTGAGATTCCTGGATTACAACATTTCAGATGACATCACCAAGGTATGTCTTAGTCACAGCGAGAAATCTTGTAGTTTTGGGGTTCACTTAATGTGACTTAAGTGCAGTTACCTGTAAGGCAGAGTTGGTGTTTGCCGTCTCTAGCCTTTAGTATGTCATCTGCTGCGTGAAGCGGATTCATTCTCTGTTCTTTTTACTTAGTTGCCGCCTCCTTTCTGCATTTGAATTGCCTTTGGCTTTGTTTGCTTGGTTTAATTATTTTCAGCGCTAGGGATAAGAACCAGTTCCTTTGTCTGGCAGAGCAGCGAGCAGTCTGTCTCCTCCCTCATCAGGTTAGGAGCCTTGGTCTCTTTAGGATTGGCAGATGGTGTGACTACACTAACACATGAGAATTTGCTCCTTTCCAGTCTGTTCTTCATCCCTCGTTCATGCTGTCACTTCACAGATTATGCCCTTGTGTGTTGTGTGCCCATAACACCTAATTATCACTTTGTGCAGTTGTCGTTCAAACCAGAGGGAAAGGCTTAAACAAGAAAACAAAGTTTTTGTTGCTTTTTTGAGTCATCTGTGGTTTTACTATGTAGCCCAAGCTAGACTTGGAGGGAACGTGAGGTTAGGCAGACACCACCCTGCCTGTCTTTACACTGGTCAGCATTTCCCTGTTCCGTTGCCTTTACGGGGCTTTCTGTTCCTATCTGAAGGACTCTAGTGTCGCTTGAGGTTCACGAGGTTAAGCACCTGCCATTGAGCCTTTTTTTTTTTTTTAAAGAGCGATCTGCCTGCCTCTGCCTCCTGAGTGTTGGGATTAAAGCCCTTATCCTATGCCACAGTCTGTTCCCTGGGTTGTCAGCAGCCGTTCCTCCTTAAGGAGCACACCTCCAAGACCCTGAGTAGATGCCACTGGGCTTCTATTGAGTCTGTCCTGCTGCAGTTTGCTGAGCTTGGTGTGCACAGTATTTGATGATGTCTTGAACAAGTACCCTTCGGGTTTAAGGCCATTATTTCTTTCAGCTCCCCTGCTGCTTCCTCTCCCGCTAGCCCTCCTGTCACTTGGTCAGTGAATTTGGTGGTCTTTGGAGCTCTGTTCATTTTCCCTTTTCTCTTTTATCTGTCTTGAAGTTGGCTGGTTGACTTTTTTGTGCCTGTTTAAATCTTCTATACATAGCAATTTGTTATTGCTATTAGTTACCTTATTTTTTTTCTATAGAATTTCCTATTTGCTTCTTTTTAAACATTGTTTTCTTCTTATTGATATCTCCTTTAATTCTTTATATAGTGGCTCACCCCCTCCCCCATCCAAGAGTGATGCATGCTCAAGAATCCCCCCAGTAGGTACTTGGAACTGGCTACTTCCAGATCTTCCATGCACATAATGGCATAATAACGTGTTGTATACAACCCTTTCCAGTGAATAATTTGTATAGTAAGCACAGCAAATATTAGCGGTAACAATAGTAGAACATGTATAATGGGGCTTAAATTTGATTAAGTAATGACAGCCTTACAGATCAGAGTAGCAGTCCTCTGAGTGGTGCACTAAAGGAACTCCAGCCCTGCCTGTTCCGCTGTTCCATTGCTCTTCCATTGCTAGGCTGTTGGTTTTCAAGGACATTACCTCAGGTGGGGGTGTGGGGTTTGAAAACAAAACAAGTTGAAATGTCTTACCAAGAGCCACTTGTGTTCTTGTTACTGGAAGTTACTTGTGTTACTGGAAGTTTCCGGGGTTTTGACAAAGCCGACTGCAATCGTTGTGTTCTGCTGTGTTGGTCCCAGACAGCCCTGTAACTTGTGGTCCTTCTCCCTCAGCTCTCTGAATACTGGGATTACAGGTGTGCACTGCAGCCCCCATTGCTGGGCCAGCTTCTCTGGTGTCTCTCCCTGTTTAATGGCTTCACACCATGGAAGATGCTGGCTTCTCTGCCTGTTTGGCATTCTCAAATGGGACTGGGCTGCATGTAGAATCATTTCCATGCTGCATTTTGTAATGGAGGCTAAATTTGGTTCTTCCTCTTTTTACCCATCTTGCCTCATTTGTCCATCTATTTTTACTTCAGTCAAAGACCATGTTTCTTTCTCTTTATAAAAATAAGGAAATAGTTTGAAATGCACTTACAGAGGTTTGAAGGAAGACTTACAAGTATATTGCTCTTTTGGTAAAGGCGGTTGAAGATGACTTCGTGGAAATGCGTAAAAACGACCCTCAGAGTATCACAGCAGATGATCTCCACCAGCTGCTTGTGGTGGCTCGGTAAGTGGCGCTCTCCTCCATAGTCTCCTTCTTCCTTTGGTTTTTCAAGACAGGGTGTCTCTGTGTAACAGTACTGGCTGCCCTGGAACTCACTGTAGACTAGCGTGGGCCAGAGAGATCCGCCTGCCTCTGCCTTCCAAGTACAGGGATTAAAGACCACCCGGCCTGATATTTCCCTGTTCTCTTGGCTGTGTGCAGTTCTGATTTATTCAACAGTATCTGAGGCAGACTTCTAAAAGCAAAAGAACTTTTCCTTCAAAGATACCTTCTTGGGCTGAGCAGAGGCTAAAGCTTTTGCCTGAGGACTGAAGTTGAGATTCCACCTAAAATCTGGGTATGCCTGGCCATGAGGAATCCCAGAACAAACTGACCAGCTCTGGGTTCAGTTGAGAGACCTTGCTTCAATGAATAAGGTTGAGGAAGATTCCTGATATCAGCCCTGGGCCTCCCACAAACATAGACAAAACCCTGTGGAAGAGGGGGTGGAAGGAAGGTAGGAGCCAGAGGGTTCAAGGACACAAGAAAACCCACAGAACCAACTAACCTGGGCTCATAGGAGCCCATAGAGACTGGACTGGCCTAGGCCCTCTGCTTGTATGTTACTGATGTGTAGCTTGGTCTTCTTGTGGGACTCCTAACAGTGGGTGCAGGGGCTGTCTCTGACTCTTGCCAGCTTTTAGGACCCCTTTCCTCATACCTTGTCCAGTCTTAATATGTTGCGGGGGGGGGTGGGGTGTTAGTCTTACTGCAATTGATATATGGATTGATTTCCATGGGAGGCCTGCACTTTTCTGAATAGAAGAGGAGGAGTAGACGGGTGGGTGCAGAGTGGAGGAGAGGAGGGAGAGGAAAGGGCAGTCGGGCTGCATCATCATCGTCGTCGTCATCAAGAATCCGCACCTGGTGGAAGTACTTCCTGCAGGGTTTACATTTACCAGTGGTCTCAGCGGGGGCACAGTCTTTAAGAGTGAGACCCTCTCTTTCTGGCTCCTCGGGGCTTCTTTGTGAGGTCACACCTGGCCTTTGCTCGTGTGTAGTAGCCATGTTCTTGTCTCCTGATGGGCTTCAAAGATTTCCTAGTTCTTAAAACTTCCTAACTCTAGGTAATTTTTAAACTTCAAACCAGGTTTCTGTCCCTGAGCGCTGGCCAGACCACACTGTCACGAGAGCGATGGCTGAGAGCAAAGCAGCTGGAGTCGTCCAGAAAACACAGGCTTCAGCAGCACAAGTGTGTGAACGGGAATGAGCTTTAGAGTCTGAACTGGAGAAGAACGGGCAAGCTACAGCCTCCGTGCTGCACAGCTCAGATCTGTTTATACCATACTGTTTTATAGATGATTTGTAGGCAAAAAAAAAACAATGACTTTTCCTGAAATCAAGCCTGGTGACACCTAAAGTTTATATGATTCTCTGTAAGGGCTTTTACCTTACTGGTTTTATGGAGTTTTGGAGTTTGTTTTATAATTAGTTATGATGTACAAAAATGTATTTGATATTAAAGGTTTAATAATGATAATGTTGCTGATCATACCATTTCCTTAGCCGTAGCTACAGCTTAGGCCAGACTCTTGGAGTGCCGGCTTCCCCTGAAGCTGTGCATCCACACCTGTGTGAATACCGTCTGTCTGAGTTTATCTAGTCGGGACGTTCTTGGCATTGATTCGTGAGCTCTCTAGTGTCAGTGTCCACAGCTGGACAGATACTTTCCCCCCTTAGCAGCTGTTAATAACCTGCAGAAGTAGGCTTTTCCATGGCAGGCGTCCCCAACTTTTAGATTTCATACACTAGTAATACTTCCAGAGATTTCTGGAGTAGGGTTGCCAATTGATTTTGCCAAAATGTGATCACCATTTTGTTTCCATGAAAAGACACCCTCAGACAGGAGGCTCTCGATGGGACAGATGCAGCTCTGTGATTCAAGTCACTACATTGTTCTTAGCTCCTCTCACACCCTGCATTTGGGAACTGTCATTTTAAGGGACTCTGAAGGGAACATTGTCCGAACATGAAAGACTTGATTTAATCTTTTTTTCCGGTGCTGTGTATTGAACTTTGGCCTCTCACCTGAGACGTGTTCTCTACCACTAAGCTGCATCCTTAGCCTGTTGTGTGTGTGTGTGGGGGGGGTGACTTTGAATCATTTTCCTCATTATTTAGCTGATTTGATGATCATGCTGGATTTTGAGCTTTTAATATAAGTTTATCAGATAGCTTCCAAGTGTGTTAGATGGGTAACATCATTTGCTAGTGCGGTAAAGGCCCATACATTACAAGTAGGCTTCCTCAGACCTATTCATTTTGATATGCATATTTTCAAATAAAAGTTATTACTTATAATTTGCAAATTAATATAGAATTGTGGCAACAGTAATCTTCAGAAAGGTTAGAATAGTGCTTTTAAGCTCTCTGTGGTGCGCGTGAAGATGAATTCATTTGGAAACAGGTGAGTTCAGTGGTCCCTTATCTTTTTCCTGCTGAAGAGGCTTGCATTGACATTGTTAACCAAGGAAACAGGGTCACCCTTGATAAGTCAAGGAATTAGCCTGATGAGAGGAAGTACAGACTACTAGTTGTTCAGCGTTCTTTCCTAACCTCAAATCTATTTTTCTAAGCTAATGTAAATAATGTTCATATTAGAATTCTAACTGGTTTTCATTTTTATAACTGGTAGACAAGCTCTTCCTTAAACCTTTGAAAATAAGATGTTCACATAGATTTTTGAAAATACTTTTTTGTCCTAGAACAAAGTTTTTAGTTTGTCTTGTCAAACTGTACCAATGTAAACTGTAATTTACCAAAGAGAAGTCATAATTTTGCTTGATCTTACAGAAAAGTTCCCTTGAGTAACCATGTCCAGTAAATAAAACTTCCAAATTACCAGTACCCGTGGGCGTTTTTTCATGAATTAGAAGCACAGGATGTCGTCTACCCAAGTCAAACTAGAAGAGACTGGAACCTTCAGCCTTTTGAGGCACCGTCTCTTCCTGGCCTACACAAAGGATATTCATGTTCATAGCTCTGCGTCAAGGCAAGCTGCAGCCCTGACCAGGCATCTATGGCCTCTTTGGAAATAACCGTTGCCTTCACTTGTGTTGCCGGATTTTCCTGTGGGTCACCTCTGTGCAAACCCAACCCCCACCCCAGCCCAGCTGCCAGCACTTAACTACCTGGATCCAGAGCCTGAAGGAAAAGAGGGGAAAGGACAGACTGCAGCATCTAGTTTTTAATGTTTGGGACTTAAAATACAGTTTCCATTTTTAAAATAAGAACACTTTAATCAAAAAAGTTCAAAACAAGTGTTTGGTTGTAGCACACTTGCCACTTATGAATTCTTTGAAAACCAAAGTACTGTTAAATGCTGTACAAGGAATTCTCATACACATTGATGCTTCGAGCTACAGTGGTACTTTAACAGTCACAGGACTCGACACTTCAATAAATAACAAAAACGGAATGCTTATCAGGTCACAGCAGACAGAATGTTCAACTGAGTCACTTCACAAGGGTAAGGCTCTAAGGATGCCAGACGTCGGTGCTTGCTGGAATGTGCCATACAGCCTTCTCTGGGATGCAGAGGCCAGTGATCTTGGTGGCCAGTCACTTAGAAAACCAGTATTAACCTGCATTTTAGGTTCTTGAACCTAAAAAAGATGCTAAGTGTCCCTCTTGAAAGAGTTAAAACTTGATTTTCTAGAGATTCCTAGAGTCAGTCAGTATACATGATCTTCTGTTCCTGAAGCAGGTGGGCTTTATGACAGGCAAGCCCGTGTGTGTTCAGGAATTTGGGAGAGAAAAAAAGAATACGGGAGAAATTGGAATCAAAGAAAATACACTGTTTATCATTATTGATTCTCAACTTCATAGAGAATGGTTAAGCTGGTAAAACTACTTTTTAAAAAAAAATTTAGATACTTCTGCACACTAGTAAAAGTCACTAAAATCTAAATGTCTAATTTCCCGTATAGGGCAGCGTACAGGAATGAACTGACAGAGCGGGAGAACGCTAACTTTACATGGTGTATCCACACTGCACCCGCTTCCGAGACTAGCTCCCCTTCCCTCCAAACACCAGTTTGGTTCTTTTCCTGAACCTTCCCAAGTGAGATCAACAAACCACTCTGTTGTGTATTTGCTAGGCTGGCCTACAGTCTAAGATGGTCACTTGTAGTCTGGACATCTGGGAATTTGCTCAGGTTCAGACTCCTTGTAAAACAAGTGCCAGTCAACAATGTAATTAGAATTTGTAATCCATAAACGCAGTACTGGTTAAAATAGCCTGAAATGGCTGGGCGGTAGTGGGGCAAGCCTTTAATTCCAGTACTCAGAAGGCAGATGGACTAAATTCAAGGCCAGCCTGGTCTACAGAGCAAGTTCCAGGACAATCAGGGATACACAGAGAAACTGTTTCTTTAAAAAAAAAAAAAAAAAGTCCAGTAGGTGAAAACTTCATTTTGAGTTTTTAAATAAAAACCATAAGATTGTGACTAAAATCTAAATTCGAATTATTCGTGTCTGGCATTGTGTAAACATATTTTTAAGTTCATTTTGCTGAATTTCATTGACCACTTCAGGTTCTGCTGGACTCTTTTGAACTTTGGCCACTGCCAAATTTATCCCATGTGTTAGCCCAGCTTGGGTAATACTAGCAACCTGGACCATGGAGCTGCGGATCTTTGCAAAGGGAGAGACTGCTCTGCTGCCGCTCTCTGGAGAAGGGGTCACACAAAGCCCTGCCTCCAGTTCCAGCAGGCTGGACCCGGAACTGGGGCTCTGCTGAGAGACCCCTGGAGGTGCTGGTTCAACTGACAAAAACTGTGGGCCTGCCAAAGAACAGGAGACATTTAGCTGGGACGGTCGAGAAGGCACCAGTCCCACAGGTTCCAACTGGTTTTCTTCATTAGAAACAGGGTTAGTCTTTTGATTTCCTTCCTCACTGTTGTGAGACACAGACCTGGTCTCTGACAGCTCAGACATTTTGTCCTGCGCATCCTGTACAAATCTGTGGCAGTAGACATCCACGGGCTTGGCAAAGCCAGTCAGTACATGTATGTTGTCAGCAGAAGGGGTTTTCTTCAAGGGAGACTCCTGGCCTTTCCCATGACCAACAATAGCTTCTGAGGGGACAGGAATGCTGACGTCAGTGCTGCTGGCAGACTGGGATCGGCTGCCTAGTCGAGGAGCTGAAGCAATAATACCACAGCTTGGGAGAACATAATCTATTGGCCCTACACTCTCTAAAGAATCGGCTAGCTGCCTGTCTTCCTCAGACTTAGAGTTGGTAAGGAATTCATCGGAGTGGTAAGAATCATTATCTGAAGACATGTCCCCATCAGACTCCCCTTGGGCCTTATTATCCATCGCTCCCGGGTTTTCCATGGTCTCAAGACTGCTGTCTGACTTCCAAAGATTGACTTTTAGGTTTGGCTTTAGAAAGTTCACTTTCATTTCAGGCTTTGTAAAGTTTCCTAATTTCCGTAGGTTGCCGATGTTCACGTTGGATTTGGTCTGCTTCACTTTTTGATTTAGAGACGAAAATTTGCTCATTAAAAAGCTTTTCCCCTGGGCCAGAGAGCCTTGATTTTGGGATCTGATACCAATGATGTCTTCATGAGGCTTACTGCTTTTCCTGTAAGTTAGAAGAGAAAGAAGTTAATTTCTCATGGAATCCAAAATACACCAACTAATACCATTAAATGCTTTGTAAGTAGCCCAGATTTCTTGGGAGCAGGGCACTGCTAACTGCTAACCAAAATGCCTGCAGTTGACACTAAACACCAGCTGGTAGAAAGACAGGAACATAGCTAAAAACTTTGTAGCAGCCACATTAGAGCAGGTAGAATCAAAGGTTTACTTACACACCGAATACTACAATTCAACACAGACATACAGAGACTTGTATCTTGTTCCTTTTGCACGAGGTCTTTAAAATGGTTAGTGTGCATAGTGTGGTTACAGCATAACTGAACTGGGACCCGCCACACTTCAAAGGCCAGGGCCTCGTGTGGCATGAGGCTGCTGTTCTGAGAAGTGAAAGTCTAATGCATGCATGAAAGTCTAGTGCAAGGTCTAAGCTGGCTGCAGTGAGAACCTGCAGGAATCCCAAGCCTCAGGATGGATCTGGGATATCTAATATAGTTAATCTGTGTTCTCTCCTTTGTCATCAGATGTCCCTGTGTGCACATCAGCACTCAGCTCATGCAGGATCACCTACCACAAGAGCACTGCAGGAAGAGTAGGTGCCCAAGTAGCTGTCGCCATTAAGAATGGACGGGAACCGCTCTCCTACCCTAGTGGAGCAGGAACAGAGCCTGAACAGTGCTCAGGAGAAGGAAAAGTCCACATACTGTAAATGTGAATTAACCTGCTGGTAGGAACATCTTAAAACCCTGCATTTCTCTGTGTACTCATGACATTGGGACGTGCCCTCTGGTTACTTTAGAGCTCAGAGAGCATCACTTGTGGTCCAAGAAGAAGGACTTTGTCTTAGGCCCTGTGAGCCACGTTTCATCAGTTTTACACGTATTGTTTAGCTAAGTACTCACAGAAAGGCTAGTATTTGCATTAAACACATCTGGATATCGAAATAGAAGTACCATGTCACTTGAGAAAATAAAAACCTGGGTCAGTTAAGAATTCCTTAAGCTGAAAATAAGGTCTCTAAGGTGCTGCAGGGTTAAGAGTGGCAAACGAGGAAGCAGTCTCCCTCTGCATTCTCCTGATCCCTCCTGAGGAAATCCACTAAGCATGAACAGATAAAAGGCGGCAATCAAACTTTTTACCAGTTGGATTTTAAGGTTATGTGCTAGGTGTTTCTAAGTACATTACCATCCAATCTGCAACCTTTCTGACATTCATTATCTCATTTTAACAGGCAACAAAACAGAAGGACTCTGAAGCTTCTTCAGGGTTCCAGAGTGAGAGAAGGTACAGTCAACAGAGGGCTAACCTTACCACAGCTAGGCGGTGTACACTCCAATCCCTGCATTCTAGGGCTGAGGCAACATCAAGAATTGAAGCCTGTCTCCCCAAAACAAAGGGCCTTTGGCTCGGTTGGTAGGAGACTTCCCCGGCACGTATGAAACCATGTGCTCAGTCTCCAGCACAGTATAAATGGGTCTGGTGGCATAAGCCTATGCCAGCACTCCATGGTGTTTCAAGTTGTATTTCTTAAGAACCATGATATATTAGTGCATTTATGCAGTGTGTGAGGTATTTTGCTGCTGTTTGTTTGGGTGGCTGTTTTCTACTTTGGGGTTTTGTTACTGTTTTAAGTCTCTATACCCAGTCTGGCCTTGAACTCGTCCACCTCACAGATGCTGGATTTCAGGTGTGCACTTCTGCATCTGGCTCTAAATGATGTCTTCTCTTGATACTGACCTCTCAAGCTTCTTCTCAACTATGGGAACATCCAGCCCCATGGCTTGCTTGGTGATCTGCAGCATCTCTGCGATGCACTGAAGAGTATCTGGAATTCAAACACAGCCCTTACTAATTGCCCAAACACTACAATAGAATAGTCTCAGCTTGAATTTGACTTGGGGCCACAGGTTTAAATACTAGTTTGCCTACAACCTACAGAAAACTGCTGCTTGTTCACTACCCTCCACCTTACTAAACCAAAATGTTCTCAACGGTGATTTTAACAGAACAGAGTCAAGAGCAAAAGAGCTAACACCTGGTTAGCGCTCAGGGATCTAATGACTGGGAGGCGCCAGGACAGCACCCACAAACAAGGAGTGGTCCATGTCTGCTGCCTCTTAAGACGAGGTGGGAAAAGCCTAGAACCCGTGTAACCTCCTTCAGGACCAAACACTACAACTCCTGCCACACAGCTCCTTGCCCAGACTACACCACCCATTCAAACAGGAACAGAGTCCGTTCTA